TTTCATGTAATATTTGAGATTTTTTTGATATTAATCTTATTTTGGCTTATGCTTATAGACTAATGGACCAATAGATCAATAGATTATGATATTGGTCTATTGAGTTCTATTGACAAACTTATTTTCAATAAACTTAGTTATTGCCAACCCTGGCTTATAGTGCAGAGATCAATAAATTTGTGTAAATACATAAATATGCTTAATTTTTTGAAGTATATATCTATTTGCATAGAATAAGCTATTAAGCCTAAAGTTAGAATCCAGATATATTTTTATTATTTGAATATAAATAAAATTAAAAAATATATCTGAATTAATCGATTTTAAATCCAGATATAAATATTTTCAAATATATTCAAATATAAATATATATCTGAATATAAATATATATCAGATATTATATAGTTATTGCATGCGAAGTATGCAATAACTGTAGTATTTTATGGGCGATCCTGATTGGTCGGTGATCCGGCCGGTATGGCTGGGTCACCCGAACAATTAGAAAGAGAACATAAAATATGTAAAGTATCATGTGTTTAAATTTTGGTTGGCTCTTTCAAGTGCTATAAAAGTATGATCTGCCGCTTACGCGGCAGATCATACTTTTATAGTACTTGAAAGAGCCAACCAAAATTTAAATACATGATACAGCAGTTATTGCTTGTGTAGCATGCAATAACAGATTTATCCAATGCTTTACAACGATCAGCAACTCTTTCTTTAATACTACGAAAGAAATTTGAGATGAACGAAACTTTGCCCAGTCCAAAAGAATTTTGGGGCCAAAGGTTTTGTTCAAGAGAATTTTAGGACCAAAGGTTTAATTTAAAGTTTTATATAGTCCAAATTCCAAAGTAAAGGTGGCAATTTGAAAAATGTTGGCTTCCGCTATAACAAAGATATAGTCACAAAAAAAGTTGAAGAAAAAGCGGTTGAACAGTATTTGAAATCTACTGAACATCATAAAATTTAGAACTAAAATTAAAGATGTTTCCCGGCCCATTACAATTTGAAACAAAAGGTAACTGATTTACTGTAATGTTTCTTCTGATCATACAATTTAGTTTTACTGTCTAATACAATTTTATTTCACCCAGTCTATTGCAATTTTGAATTCCAAGTCATTAATTTAGTGCATCGATCAATATCTGATAATTAGACTATTTTATGTAACAATTAATTAATAGTACGATCATATGTGAACTACTAATATAAATAAAATTTTTAAATAAACTAGTTTTTTCTCTCTCTGTCATATCGAGATAGTATTAATATTGGAACTTAAAATAAAATGGTTCGTTAAAGATTAATAATATTTAATATTTAAATAAATATATTTCATTTAAAATTTAATAGACCAGTTCAAATCGTGGCGATTACTTACCAACTGATCAAGAGATCGAAAGTATAATTGAATCATTCATCCCTGAAAACACTCGCAAGGTTACTAAAAAATAGGTCAAGACATTGAATCGATGGCGTGAAAAAGTTGGATATCACTATAGCGTTGAAACAATCTCTAATAAAAATCAACTTGAAAAAGAAATGACTGAATTTTTTTGTGGTGTGCGAAAGGTTCAAATGGAAGTGACTATAGTCCATCTTCCTTAACTAATGCATACAATTGTTTAAGCAATTATATTTCTAAGCACCCAAACCGTGTAATACGTTTACTATTAATGACAAATGTGATTTTCCTCTACTTTGGGAAGCTCTGAACGGAAAGATGAAAGCTTTAAAAAGTCTGAAAAAGTAACTAAGCATCATGATCTGTTAACATCAGAAGAATTGAAAGTGATGTTTAATCATGAAGCACTGTCTATTAATACGGCTAAAGACCTTCAATACCGGGTTTTCATGTGGTGTTGTCTATTGTTTGCACCTCGAGGCGGAGAACATAGACAAATAAAAGTAATACAGTTTGTTTTTCTTGATGACGAGGGACTTCGATTCAATAAATTTTCACAAAAAAATGACCCCGGGGGTATTGATGGAAACTTAGATTCGCTTGTGATACCCGTACCTGCAGACCCTGAAGGTTATTTGGGACCAATTCATGATATTAAACTTTATTTAAGCAAAAGACCTGAAAATTGTAAATGCGAATTTTTTCATATTCAAATTAATAAAAACATTCGAGGTACATGTTTTTTAATCTTCAAATTAATAGACATTTGAAATACTTTTTTTCAATATTTTA